TAGGCTTTCCAGGGAGTGTAGTCACCACAAGTGATCTAATACTCAAACTCTAAATTTTGAGTAGCTCAAAGAATGTGCAAATTATCGATCACTCAATGCTAACTTTGTAACCCACTTTAAAAGAAAACATTTAAACATTTAAAAATAAATATTTATCCTATCTAAAATAAGCCTATTTCTGAAGTGAGAAAACTACTTCGGATTTATTTCATGGGTCACATGTGATGAATCATTTTTGGTATCCTGTTAATTAGTGAGTTAAAGCAAAATCAAAATATGTTTTAAAATTGTTTAAAACTGTTGTATCTAATGAGAATAAAATAAAATGCCTTTTTTTGAAAAATAAAATTAGTTCTTTATAATGAATCTTAATACTATAATAAAATGAAAAATTGTCCCATCAAACTTACAATATTAGGCTTAATAACTGCCAGGACTGTTTATCAATGGATAAAATAAAACAGAGATGTGAGTAATTCTTAAATACAAAGAGCATCTGCGAAACATGCAAATATTTACTCTTGTACAAAATAAGTCAATAAATATTTTGTTGAATGTGTACTATATGCAGGTATACTAGGCATCGAGAGTGCAATGATGAATAAGAAAGATAAAGTGTCTCTCTTATGATGCTTATTTTCTAGTGGAAGAGACAGATAATAAGTAAACAAAAATAAGAGAAAAAGGAATGCATGCTATGGGGGATATAAAGAAAATAGGATGACACATTGGATTAGGTGGTCAGAGACATGTTCAAGAAGGGATGTATAAGAAGATACACAGAAGCACAGGTCATAGAATAAAATAAATTAAAAACCATGTCAGTAACCATCAATATAGAGAATATTAGATCGATTATGATATACCTATACAATGCAGCAGGTACAAGGAATGAAATATAAGTGGTAGAGTATAAAAATTTCCAAGACATATACTGAATTTAAAATTGAGGTTGCTAAATGTTACATACAGTATGATAATAACTATGTAAAAATAGTCTTCATACCTGTGGCTGCACACATATCAATGCATAGATACCTAAAAGTATACACAGCAAAATGTAGATAAGAGTGACTTTGGAGATATGGGTGGGTGTAGAGACCCAAGATGGTAATGACCAATAAGTCTTTAACCTAACAGTTCTGTTTTAAAGTTTTATAAGATACTCAATGCATTGCTTTTGTAATTAAAAACTAATTTAAAAAATTAAAAAGAGCAACAACTTGATAAACTACAATTAAAACACAAATTCTAATATTAACTTTAATATTACAGTCTTGAAAATATCATTTAACTCAGCCCCTTTCTGTATAAAAAGAAGTAGCACTATCTCTTCACTATTAATTATACTTGAAGGACCTATAATCAAAGCTAAAATCATTGCATTGCTAAAACTGTTGTATATATGAACATGAACAAAATAGAAGAATAGATGTGAAAAAGGAAGTAAAGTTGTTTTAACCTTCATTGTTTAAAAACTCACCCCGGAAAATAATTTTAATGATGAAACAATCTGGTGAAAAGTGCGATAGGATGGAAGTTCTGTCATAGTGGAAGGTTTTTGATCACTTTTCTGATACATCAAGGAAACATGAACTACACCCATCTCATGAGATTATCTTCTTTGAAAGGCAACTAAACACACCTCCCGTCCCCAGATAGTTTTTTTCAAGGACAATTTAAAAGTTGAATTTTGTAAAGCTAAGACAGGTTCTTCATGATGGAGAAGAGTCACGCTATCAGCAGATGTTAGGGAAAGTTGAGGGTGATTGATTCCTAAGGGTAGTGCTGACCTCGGACACCAAGAGCTTTATAAATTAAACTCAAGACTGTATACTTTCTGTGGAAGGAAGCAAACAGGAGGCACAAAATAGGGGAATATTTCTTTTTGGAGTGTCCTTTTAATAGTCCTAAGGGACTTTTGGAATAACTAACACTTTTCCCTCTTTAGATCAACATAGAAGTACAGTCTACCCTGTAAAAAGATAATAAAACTAAATCAAAGTTTGTTATTATTCACAGAGATATGCAAGTTGCTATAATCAGGAGTTTAAGATAGCATATTTTTCTGGAGCAGAAAACATTCAATTAAATTTTTATAGCATTTTATTCTTCCCTTGGCTATGCAACATACTAAACAGACCCTTAGAATATGCCACCAAAGGCTTCTCTGGCTATTGTAGAGAGAGGAACACATGTAAAAATTTACTGCCATGGATTTCTCTATGGGGTTTCAAAAAAATAATGACATCGATAAGGCCATCCAGTTCATGCTATCGCCAGGGCAAACTGGAATTCTCCTTATGGTATTAGGGTTTCTAGAAGTACAGGATCCCTGGAATATCAGACACTATAGCAAAAAATATATTTAATATTATTAATCATAATATTAAATTAATTGTATCAGCACCCTAGGATTGAGCAAACTGCCAGGGGATTTGATCCTTTCCTAGAGATTTTCTAAGAATATCCCTCTTGTAGACTCTCTGGTGAGAAGCAAGTAACATCATAAAATATCAAATGTAGATCATATTTGCGGTGAAGAACACTGGGAAAATTCTTAGAATACATAGAATGCAATAATGTGGTGCTCTACCTGACAGCATACAGATGGTGGTATTAGTTTTGGGGATTGATTGCTATTTATCTCCCCTCCAAGCAAAACAAAGCAAAACAAATACCTGTAACCTACATAAATATTTAAAGTATAGGAGTCTATCTAAGATTTCACAATGGACTTTTCTACTTTGAGGCATTAAAATCTCACAGAATTATCAATGAAATAAAGATGATTTTGATCAGATATATTGAAATTACTTGTACAAACAAAAAATACATGGAAGGATTACTCATTTAGTATAATTATTTTCTTTTGTCTGCATGAATTCATAAAATATATGAATAAAAATTAAGTGTCACTCAATGGTTTTATGACAAAACGATCTGAAAGGACCAAATAAATACTGCACTACCCTGATAATAGATTCAAGGCCATGCATGCAAGTAATGTATTGGCTAAATGACCATAGAAATTGCTATTTTATTCTGCAGTGCTGAGCTGAATTACTAAGGCAAAATGTTGAAATGGCATTTGAGCTTCCATAAATTCTACAATATCAGAGCTTTTGAAAAATCCTTGTGGAATTCACATCACAATGTGCCTTCCACATTAGGTAATGCGATCCTATCTTGAGATGTAACCTGATGGCATCATCACACACAAACACATTCATCATGCTGTCCTGCGGATTCAGAAAGGAGAATGTTTTCCCTCTGAGTGTAACATCCCACTGACTTATATTCCTATTAACTGGCAAGCTGCTGAAATAACTTAATGTGGTTTGAATATTTAGTCCAAAGGAGTATAAGAAAGCATCTGTCACTTACGTTTTTGAGTCATCCCACAACACACAATAGGGATTCAAAGTACCCTAAAAATAAGCAGAGAAAGAATAAATAACCTTGGGTACATATACAGAAGATTGAAGGATTATGTGAAATGGAAACAGAATGGCAAATTTCTTATCTTGCAGCAAGATATTTTAAATATTCCACCTCAATATTTCATAAGAAACTTGCATTTCCTTTCTCACAGATTTTGTGAGCAATTTTATAAAATTCTATGAAAACAACACATTTATTCCAAATATCATAAACTATATTTAGTTTTTGTTGAAAATTAAAAGTGAAGCTATCATATACCATAAGTCCATTATTTGATCATTTCAATTATATATTCATTTCCCTAGAATATTAATTGCTAGATTACTTTCTTTAAGAAGACCAAAGTATTCGCAGTACTTAAATGACAGTGAAACAGCCTGTATTATGCACATGTACAATCATTACCACCACCTTCTTTTTAGCCTTTAATTGGTGCTTCCTAGAGACAAGAAGTATCCATTTCCAGAGAGTTTGTTGACTTGCAAATCTCCCTAATTAACAAATCATATTTGTATAGGATCATATCTAAATAAACTTTAAGTAAAAATGTTAGATTTTAAATTCAGTTCAATAATTATGTATTGAGTATCCACCATGACCTTCAGCATGACACAATGAGTTTTCACACTGCATTATTCAAATGCTTTCTGTTGGAGAGTTTTTTCTTTCTATCTGCCTATGCACTTTCAGGGAGCCTTATTTTGCCCTTTGAAACTAACTTAATAATTTTTCTGTTACGCAATATCTTTAGATACGTGTCATTACAGATTCTGTCCTACCCCTGAAGAGTCTTCTCTTTTCCATTAAATATACTCTGTGGGTTTCAAGTCCTCTTATCCTCATCACTCATTTCCTGGAGGACACCCTTTTAAAGTGCATTGAGGGAAATCAACCACTTGTGTCTGACCTGTGCAGAGCAAAGTGGTACTATTTTCTCTCCAATTTAGGTGTCATATTCCTAATAATGAAAAGTAAGATTGCATCAGATATTTTGGTAGACTCTTCTTGAGCTTGACAGGTATTACTCATACACTGCTGTCTCTTCAGAGCTTTTAAACCCTGATTTTGGCAACCCACACATTCGTTATTGCTTCCAAGCTCTGCGTCATTACAACATTAAAAAAACAAACATGATTATCTGTGTCCTCATCCAACCAAGTAATTGATAAAAATAATGAATAGACCAAGGCAGTTTAAAAATACAGTTCTGAAACAGGCCACTGGCTCCCTTCCACAGGTGGACATGGTCCCTCAGTGCCTCAGTGCCAACCCAGTCCTCAGGCCTCCATCTTGTTTACAAGTAGATAATCACTGGAGTACATCAGACTAAGCAATATCTTTGAAAGTCTAGGGAGGCTCTTTGTGAGGGGTGCCTTTCTAAATGCTGTTTTCTGGGTTCATTCTACCATTTCTCTAGAAATAAAAATTAAATTCACTATTCTGAAATTTACAAAATCTACCACAACCTTATTTATTATTCATTTTCATTGGGACATTTGGCTAATTCCAACATTGTAGCACCAAAACTCTTCTCCAAACTCCATTAAAGACTACCTACCCAAGGTATCTTCTTATCAAATGCTCATACCTTTACATTATGCTCCTAGAGCATAAAAACTGTCTTCCCTGAGGAAAAGGTCACAGTCCTATAGATGTAGATGAAGAGCATACTCAGGGAATGTTTACATAACAACACAAGAGAAATGCTTATATAAATATCACTAGTCTTACATAGCTTACTGAGTAAGTGAGCTTACAAATGAGGGAACAGAGAGTCATGGTCTGTGCTGATTAGACTTATTAATAGTTCTATGGAAGAACTGAGTCCTTACCTAGTTCTCACAGAAGGTATAGATCTCAATGTTCAAGGGATGAAACGGGGAACAGTGCTTCAAATTGGTTTCTTTCTCTAACTTATGAGACATTATCTACTTTTACCTGGATTTTTAATATAGCTTGTGACTTTCTGATAAATCCTCAGCAGAGCTAAAATGTTGTCATATAATTATGCTATATGTATCTAGAGTTTTGTTCCAAGGAGCTCAGAGCACTTTATAGGTAACAAATTATCCTTGGAATGTCACAATGAAGAGTATGGGATAAACCTAGTGTAGCTGAGGAACTTGAGTGGTAATAGATCTTCTAAATCTAGATCACTGGTTTTAGTAATGTAAAGTACATATTAAGTTAAATCTCTACATGAACTAATACGGGATACTGATTATAGGCTTAATATTTCATAATTATTGCTCAGAACAGGCTAAAACACAAGAAAAATAATATTAGAAAAAACTATAAACTTAATTGTTTGAATACCCCTTTCTTTTTTAGCACCCTAAAGAAATTAATTTATATTTTCAGACAAAAGTGTGAACATGAGAAATACTTCTTCTAGTCTTATTTCATGCCTTTGTCAATACTCAGTTTTATCTTCTACCTTCTTCACTCCTTACATCTTAGAACCTAATTGCATGTTTCTCTCTCTCTGTCCTTATGAAAATTTGATCACCATCCAGGTAAGAATTATTAGAAGCTGCAAAATGCACCATTCAATTTTGTGTTTCACTAAACACTCTGGGATTTACATGATAAACAGACACCCATTTGTAAACATTTATTCTAGCATAGTTACCAATGTGTAATTCTGTGAGCTAAGGTCAATAAGTTAAACATTTGAAGTTTAGAAAAATAAGCAGAATAAATCAGAGGAATCTTAGTACCTGGGTAGACCAGTCATTTAAGGAGTAAGTGTGAGATGGGGAACAAAGCAAATGCCAATGATGAATGAATTCTAAACACTAAAAAAAAAATTGGCTAAATGGTTCTGTTGAGAAACTACTTGTAAAACATTTGTTCTAATTTGCAGGTACTTTTTTCAAAGGGCCTCTGTTACAAAATCTGTTATGAGGAATTTACAGAAAATCAATAACAGGAAATGGTGAGCCCAACAGAAAGTAGTAACAAAATGTAATGGCAGAGCAAGAGGAAAATAAGCAAGCTGTGAGATAACTTGTAGAAGTAGATTTAAGCAATGCATCAAACTAAGAAAACAAAAATTGTCAGGTAAACAAGACAAATGGGTTAAAGAAGATTGATTTACCAAGATGTAAGAGACATGTTAAATACTAAAACTACATGCATTTGAAAACTTAGAAAAGTATGTGCTATTCTTGACAAACATGTGTTTGGCAAAAACAAAAAGCTGCCTTTCTTGGCTACATACAAAATAGCATAGTTGAACTCAAGTTAAAAATATCGATACTTACGTACTTTTAAGTATTTTAAAAATACACCATAACCCAAATTTCCTAATTATCATAGATAGATATTCTACACACCACTTTTCAATTGTTTTTGCTATTTTCTTTTACTTCTCTGTTTCAACATCGACCAAACTAATATTATCTATTTAATAGTAGACTATATCACCAGCTTTGTTAATGTATTTCTATAGGTGGTTCTCTCTTTTTCTTTGGACTCCATAACTTCTGTTTGCTTATTTATAAAATACGGGATTTGGACATCCTTTCTAGCCCAGCTTTCAATGATTCTAGAATTATATTCATCAGTGAATTCATTTTATTCTTTCAAAACTCTCTTCCAACTCTCTTTTTTCTATGGAATAATCCCTACGTTAAATTACTCTCACAAAGCCTGCAAGTCAGAAAATAAAGCCAGGGTGATGATCAAAACAAGTCTATTCATTCATTTATTCATTCATGTCAAAATCATTTAGTAAATACCTATGACATTCCAGCTACCCTTGGAGGCACTGTGATACAACATTGAACAAAACAAAGTCCCTGCCTCACAGACTTCACCATAGTCAAGGGGGTAGGGAGAAGACAGACAAAAAATATCAGCAAGTACATATATAATATATTAGATAGTAACACATGCTATAATGAAAAGTAAATCACAGCGAGTAGGAAAGACTGGAAAAATAGAGTAGATTCTAACTCTGTATATTGAAAAGACTTCACCAATTAGATAATATTTGAGCAGAGATCTGAAAGAAGTTGGATGTCAATAAAGTCACAATAAAAATGAATAATGACCAAGGTTCTTTATGTTTTCCTTGGTTTTCTAAGTTCTAAATAAATTCAATACACATGCTATCTTAATCACTCTCTTGCTATCTTAAAAATGTTTTTAAAGTGTTTTCTCTAGACCTACTCCAGAATCAACTGGGATGCTTATTAAAATGCAGATTCCTTGGCTCTGGGAATTTTGAGACTGAAGCTGAACTTAGAAATCTGCATTTTAATAACTATACCTATAGCCCCCCATAATTTTAATCCACATCAAATTTGGAGAATTGCTGCTCAAGACAAATACAACAGAAATAACATGGTGAAAACATTTAGTTCTAC